CAGGTGAGAAATGTGCTAAATTAACCTTTGCTTTAACCTCAACCTATTGGTGGTCGCTAACTCTCAAGGCTACAATCGTTTTAGCGAGCTAACCTGGAGAACCAGATAGCGGAGGCTGAGGATCGTGGCGAGATGACTGTGAAGGAGGCCAAAGGTCGTATTAAGGACTTGGAGGAGGCGCTTCAGAGAGCCAAGCAGGACATGGCCCGCCAACTCCGTGAGTACCAGGAGCTCATGAACGTCAAGTTGGCGCTGGACATCGAGATCGCCACCTACAGGAAGCTGCTGGAAGGCGAGGAGGACAGGTAACAAATCGAGTCCTGTTATAGCATGTTGTATTTTACTTAAGAGGGGTGGAACTGAAATGTTTACGTTTACAAATATCGACTGTCTAATTTTTCTTTTTACCTCTCACAGAATTGGACAGCAGCCCATTGTGAACATCCAGGCTGTTTCTAACTACAGTAAGTGTAAATGGACTAATGGGACATTATACATTACAACAATGGCCACAGTAAACACACACTTACAGTGAGCATAAAATCCAAAATTTCGCCATTTACTTTCTTATAAGTTTCTGGTTTTGTGTGTAATTTGAAAAAGCAGCATTACCATTGTTACCATTGGGATATGTGGAGATGCTCATGACCTTTTGGCACGTCTTTGTCAAAAGGCTTCTCAAAAGTGTTTGCTGCTGGCCCATTCCTTTATTAAAATCCCATTTCACACCATCCAACCAATTGTCCATGAAAAAAATCAAGTCAGTCTTTGTCTGAAAGAGGATTTTCAACATCCTATTACAAAAGTAAAATGGGTCACAAAAGTTTAACCTGTTCATCACCAGCATTTTAAAATGCATACAATATGACCTTCATACACAATTTGAAAGCTGAATATTATTGTTTTTCTTCACAGGTTCCAAAGGGGTGAATGGTTTTCAGCAGAACAGCTCTCCATCACCTAAAATCCTGATCAAGACTACTGAGACCAGAAACAACAGCAGATTCAGCACTCACTAAAGTGTCAACCATTATCAAAAAAAATGCTATACTATACATATGACAGTTAACCTTAAACATAGAAGTAGTTTTCTTTTGTCTTTCTGTGAATCAATGGAAAGAATCTGAAATTAATTTTCCTGAAAGAACAAAGGCTTTGTGCCTGATTCAAATACATGTATTCAATATAAACACTCAGAAATTAAATGACTATATAAAATTTAATCGTGGAATGATTTATTCTACAGAATTCAATATTTTTATTTAAAGGGATCATTTTGCATCACATGCATCATTTACTCTTGCAATACAATCTGATAATCTCAAAGGCTTTTAAAAATGTATTTCTTTTCTTTTTTTTCTCAATCTGAATTGTTGGATTTGATTATTTACTTATTATTTTGGACACAATGTGTATGCAACATAAGTATGTAATGTAGATATACCTGCAACCTGATACACCATCTGAACAAACAGATCTGATTTCACCACTTTCAAAATGACAGTGCAGACAGTCCTAAAGACTGAAGATGAAAGACAAATCATAATTGTGTGCAGTGTGAACAAAAACCTAAAGTAAGATTAGTCAATGTCTGTAGGAACACAAACCATACGAAAACAAAAACCCGAATCAAGAAGAAAGAAAGGAGATGGTCCGAAAAATAACACCAAAGGGAACATATTCTCAACAGTACAGTTTGAGTATTTCTTCCTGTAAAACCTGTTCAAATGTAACACATAATTTATTTGGTTACAGGCAAATACACACATTGGATAGTCAGTATGCACTCTGTGACAGTAAAACATGATATGATGATATTCTTCATATGCCCTCAATGCTCTCTGGTCTCATTGAGGCTTCACAAACTCACACAAACATCAACAACAGCCTTGGGAATACATATGTGTTTGAGTATTATTTCAACATAAGTATAACTAGCTCAGACAGTAGTTTCAACTGTGAGAATTAGAGTAATTTTTGAGGAAGAGAGGAGCCGTTTGCTATAAAGGGGTTTTATTTAGCATATTATAGCCAATGAGGGTTTAACATTACCTTGAATCAGACAAACACCAAATTTCCTCAAAATTACATCCTGAAGTTTTTATGGTGATGAAAAGCATCATGGTGAAGACACAATGACCACTATGAAGGCCAGAATACACCTAAGCCTAGTTTCATTCCCTAAATTGCTCCAAATTAATGAATATTTGCTTTGTCGATCAAGTTTGACTATGATAATTCTTACCACGAAGCTTCACAGTTTGGCAGAGGCAGGTCCTCATCCAAAACTTCTCCGTTTCACGTACTTCTGCTACTTTCACTAGATTTGATCAACTTAAAGTGTCCAATTTCATGAAATATTGTATATTATAAACATAATTACGAAGAAAGCAAACAGCCACTTGACCGTTAAGTCTGTTAAAGCGTTTGAATTCTGAAAGCGCGGGAAGACTTCTGTGGCGTTCAGTCGGGGGAAACGCGCGCCGATTTCTGATTTTTAGATTAATTATAAATAATTAAAATTATTATAAATTATTCGTTTTGGCGTTATAATCCTCGTATGGTGTCATTATATGGTTAAGCACAAACATGTTTTTTATCCAGTAAAATGAGCAGTTTAAATATAGGCTATAAAGCAGCTGAAATATGCAACGGAGAAAAAACAAATATAGACAAAAAAAAAAAAAAACCCCATCATAGTGGAGTAGGCCTATAGCGTTTATTAAATTAAAACATTCAGAGCATATGCTAAAATAACATAATACTATCTGCCTGCAACAGTTGCTATTAAGTAACTTAATGAATTAACCCAAACTTGTTAAAATGCGTTTTATACAAAAACAATAATTTAGAATTATAAAGAAAAGCCCGAGGACATATTTTTAGGAATAATAATACTAACAAAAGGCTACAAAAATGTGTCTTGCACACATTCATCAGATATACTGCTCCTATCGAACTCATGGCAAAAGCAAACATCACTAGTGCCCCCTTGTGGTTGGTAAACAGAATTACAGTCTTATCAGATTAGGATTAGAGTCTAATGCCAATCCATAGTCAGCATGTGCACAAGTGACTGTGGATTGATTTTAACGGATTCATCTTCTGCCCGACTTTGTTGCTCTTTATCATCGTCTTCTGAAGAGCAGAAGACTTCTGTCCCATGTTGTATTACCGAAACTCTGCATCAGCTCCATGCTGCACTGTTTTTCCAAATGCTCTCTAGCATGCGCTGCCATGTCTCCTCGAATCTCAAGGGTCTTGAAGTGGTCAAAGTCACTGCGCCCCAGTTTGCGTAACCGGCGTGCAGCAGAGCGGTAACACTTCCACGGCTGGGCCTCCAGCAGCAGATACTCACAGAGAGACGCCAGTCTGGAGAGAAGAGACAGAAACGTTGCGTCTCCGTGATTCAGATGCACCCACATAGTCACCGCAAAACAGGTGCACAGGTGGAAACGGGGGCAGCCAAAACTTCCCAAATAGGACTCTAGCACTGCCTGGCTCTTTGCATCATCTGTGATATCCAGGGGGATAAACTGGATATTCTGGGGAAAGGGGTTGGAGTTTTGTGCCCGATGAATTAAATCTTGGTCCAGGTCAAATCCAAGCAAATACAGTTTTCTTTTAGGAAAGTCACATCCAGAGGCCTCCTCTTGCAATAAATGCTTGTACAGAGCAACAGATAAATCCTGACAAACAGAGGGAATGATACAAAACACGTTTTGGTGATTAAAACGACATATGAATACGCTGTCCAAACTGAAACCAATCAGGTAATAACGTAAAATGAATATATATGACAAAATCATAGTCTAAAAAAAGAGCAATTTAGCAACTTCTAGACAATAAAATAATTTACTGCTGAGCATAACTAGAGAGAGAGAGAGAGAAAAGAAAAAAAAAAGATTAACCACATTAATTCCAATGACATTATAATGCTGAAAAAAACAGCATATGCTGGTTAGGTAT